GCACGCTCATTCTGCAATGGCGTGCAGGCGCACACGCCAATCTGCAGCTGGCGTGCAGATTGGCGTGCGCTTATCAACCCCCGGGTCGTATGGGTTGGCCTGGGGCCTAAACGCATATGTATATGCGTTTAGGCCGCAGATACATTGGCGTGCGGCCTCGCACGCCAAATCTCTTTGGCGTGCGGGCCTGCACGCCAACTGCAGGCCGATCTCTCCTGCAGGCGATTGGCGTGCGGGGCCACACGCCAAACTTCTTTGGCGTGCGCCAAGGGGGTTGGCGTGCGGTTATCAACCCCCCCCTTCACAATTGGTCATTTGAAGCAATCAGTTTGTGCTCTGGTCAAATCCTGATTCTTTTCAAGAGCTGATTGACACGCTCTGCAACAAGTTCAACGGTAAAGTGGAACTCCGGACAAAGATGACTGAGGACAGGGAAATGTTTGGTGTCGAGCACTTCAGTTTTTGTCGGTTAGGCACCAAGAAAGGAGGCTCTGTTGAAGATTACAAATCGTTTGTCGAGTTCTTAAAACGGGAAAAGGCGATCGACTTGATTTATGACTGGGACACCTTTGAACGGCACACCCTTGATGAAGAAGAACAAACAAGAAGGAATTGACGCTCAAGCTGCACGATATGCTCTCCAATCAGGGAAGGACACTGAATATCGTGAAGATTTGCATTCAGCCGCTGAAAGTGACAGCTCTGAATCCAGTCTTCCTTTGACCATTTTCACATCTGCAACCGGTTCAACATCGACCACAACTTTACCCCAGAATCAATCAACTTTACCTCCTCCTCCAAGTCTAACTTCTTTATCATCAGCAACCTGGTCAACTCCAACCACTAATTTACCACAGAATAAATCGCTTGTTCCTCCTCCCTCTCAGCCGGTGGTTCGGAACGACCACAATGAACAGCCAAAATTCTCCTCAGTCATTCAACAAGAGACCAACCCCCATGTTGAAGCCTTGAAGAGAAACTTGGACAATGAACTGGTGATTGTTAGGATCCTCCCACCTTGTAAGTGTCACTATTTTAAATAATAACCACCTGACTTCAGTGACTCAGAATTTGTTATTAGGGCAAGCCAAAACAATCTTGGATCCAAACGATTTATCTTGGGAGAGATTTGGGAGCATGGAGAACTCCTTGTCATACCAAGATGCCGACAACTCTGACTGGGTTGATGGAGTTTGATTCAGTCTGGATCCCGATGGGCTCAACATGCCTCAGAATATTTGTCTCTACCGTGTTAATTATAATAAATTTTTCAAGGTGAAAGAGACGACCAAAATCACAGCAGCTGAGGTTTCTGACTCTGGAACGGTTTTTCCCATGGTAGCCAAATACTCTCGAGTCCGCAAGGATCTAACATGTGATTCATATGCATATGTAGCAAACTATTGGCTGAGGACCTATGCGGTTTCCAGGCAATTCCTGGCTCAATTCTGTCAGGCTATAAGTCAGTTCACAGGTGGGACAATTATTGGGCGGACTGCAAAAAGGTTACAGGTGAGTGTGTCTGCTATTCAAATCCTCTACAAATTTATTGGACTGACCAAATACCTACCCACCAGATTGTCAATGGATTTCCTGTTCACCATGACATCTTTACTCGACCAAGTCATGAGGATAAATATGTTCCTGGTCAGGATGATGATATGTTTGATTCCACTGAACAACCCAACTACCCTCTCCGTCCCGTCAATAGTGACAAAGAACCATCTCGAGTGTTCTGGATGGAAGAAGAAATCACCGGCGGCTATACTTGCCTTTTGTCAATTGTAAACGATGTCTACTTCACCGGTGAACCTCGCTCTCCCACCAAATTTTTGCTCCACTCGTTTCAACACTGGGTCTATAATCATACTTGTGGCCAGCTCACCATTCGAAAATTTAAAGGCTATGGTACCCTTATTTCCAAACCACACATTGTAGATTTGAACACCAAGTATGTGCTATACATCAATCCTCTTTATGGCTGTATTTGACACTCATAATTTCTATACCCTTTGTATCCACAGGTCTATGTGGAAGAATAAATATGCCAAAGAGTACATGGAATTATTTCTCAAGAAGCACAAGTGCAACAAGGTGTGCAAAGCCCTTGAACTACCCGACTTGGTTGAAATCCCTTGGCAACCAAGATCCAGCACCCCGGGCAACATTCACCATTCCACTGTCAACTCTGCTCATTTGGCCGACAAGATCGGTCAATCCACCATCAAAATCAATGAATCCACCAGCAACACTAGACAAACCCCTGGCCCTACTAATTCAATTAGGGATGAGGATCTGGGGCTGATCTCGGTTTTCCGACTGGGCACCCAGGCGCTGAGGTCACGATTTCATGATTGACGCTCTCATGTATATAGATTTAATGGCCACTTGATCAATTATAATTCCTTGATAATTGTCTTTTTGCATGTTACGGCTGTGTAAACAATTATAATTACTTTATAATTGTCTTTTTCCACACTGCCAAAGTGATTGTATCAGATTGCTACATCTGGCATTACATCAGATAGAAATACCTGATATTACATCAGGAAAAACTGGGATTGTATCTGCCAGAATTGATATTATATCTACCTAAAATGATAGTGTGTCTATCGTGAAAGATATTGCATCAGACCAGCCTATTCAATGTCAGCATAACTGAATTCATATCAGATTTTTCTATCTGATTTAATGCCCATGGGCTAAAAATTTGTATCAGATGTAAAAAATATGATATAAAATCAGTTATTTTGACATTAAATAGGTTGGGCTGATGCAATATCTGTTATGATAGATATAACGTAATTCTAGTTAGATATGATATCACTCCTGATAGATATAAGACCAGTTTTGCCTGATCTAAAATCAGATTTTTTCATCTGATGTAATGCCAGATGTGGGAATCTGATATAATCACATTTGCAGTGCCATGAGCCCATTGCCAAATGAAATGAATCAGGCTCAGCCCTTTTAGACTCGAGGCCATGTCTCATGTTCATTCACAGCCCTCAATTATACAGCCCAGTGCGAGCCTAACTAGGCCTCCACGGCGGGAGCGGGAGCGAGCAGCGGAGCTGTCCACGCCAGTGGAGGCCTAAGACCAATGTGACGAGGCCCGCGTGCTGAGTTCGTGGATTTGGGTTGAAAACATCGATTTTCGTCTTTATCCCCTTGTAGCCGTCGTCTCATTGACATGTACACAATTTCCTTCCCAGGCCATGAAGGCCTGCTTCTTACCCTTCTTTTTGTGTCTTCCGTTTTTTTTATCTTTTCTCGCTATCCTTGTAAGGGCCTTTGAAAACAATTGGTTTTCAACTCGAGTTACCGATGCTAAGTTAGATTGCCCCGCTGTTTGCGTTTTTTTTTTCAACAACTTGTTTTTAATTAGTAAGCCAATTGAAATTACACCTGGCACGGTGTATAACATCACAAGTTGATTGTTGAAAAGACAAAGGATCGGTCAGTCGGTTACTAGACAAAGCGACTCTTGACCATCCGCAATCGTCGATAAAAATCACAAAAAAGGACCTGGAACCTGGCACTACCGGTCCTTCCGTTTCCAAATACAGAAATCAAACACTACCGGGAGAGGAATCGAAGCGAAACAGCATCGACCGGCACGACCGGTCCTTCCTTTTGCGACGAGAGAGCTTGGAACGAGACAGGCACTGCAGGTCCTTCCGTTCGCAACCAGAGAACTCGGAACGAGACAGGCACTACCGGTCCTTCGGTTCGCGACAAGAGAACTCGGGCCGTTTGCGGACCGGCGCTACCGTGTTTCCGTTCTTTTGCGACGAGAGAAGTCGGAAAGAGACAGGCACTACATACCGGTTGTTGAAACGAGACAGGCACTACATACTGTTCTCACCATCCTTGTAAAAATCAATCAATAGCCTTGCTGCGCTCGTGCAGGTATGCACCATCATTTGTTTTTCTTACGTTCTCTATCATCAAAAGTTATATGTTTCTCAATCATCTAATGATTCATGTTTTCTTTATTTCTATTATTCTTTTTCTATCATGTCAGGTGTTGTTGTTGTCCTTCAAACAACTCCAACTCATTCCATTCTTATTATCAGGAATCATCCCATTATTACACCGTTGCTTCCTTTTGCAACGAGAGAACTCAACTGTTTGCGGAGAGCTGAATCAGAGAGAGAAAAGCTCAACCGTTTCCGTTTGCAACAAAATGAATCGGAGCGAGACTGAACATTCCACTCCAATCGCTGATGATTCTAGCCATGAGGAAGATTCCGATTCCGGGCAAAGTATTGCAGCTTCCAATCCAATTGAAGATGATTCCGATTACGGTGAAAGAATCACAGAGTCTGAGGTCATTGATGAGATTGCTGCTCTCAATTGTGGAGAGTCTCTTCCGGACGAGTTAGCCAGCTTAAAATTGCAAGCAACCTCAAAGAAGAGAGTCACCTTGCGCCAAGATATCCTAGAGCTCAATCACCATGAGCTCAAAGAGCACATACGAGTCGAGTCCAGAAATCTCTATGGCGATGAGGCCAAGGATGAACAACTCAAAGCTGTAGCCGCCTTAGTCCATGACCGGCACACATTCGTCCTTGCAGGTACTGGTTTTGGAAAGACTCGAATAACAGAAATGTATCACAATCTGTTTCAACCGTATCAAAAGTCTATTGTATTGGTCTTGAATCCTTTGGATTCACTTGGAGACAATCAGGTCTGTATTTAATTTTCCAAAAATAAATAACTACTTTGGATTTGGAATCTTGCATTGACATTGTTACTGTTATCTTTATTTTTGGTAGGTTGAAGAAAAAAGGAAAGTAGGAGTTAATAATAGGCATATTAAAGCAGTCAACTTGACCAGTAAAGTCTTGAATGCAAAAACGGCTAGGAAGATCATTTCCGGGAAGTTTGAATTTGTTTACCTGGTGAGCTACTCAGGTCTAAGAATAGAATAAATTGCAGTGGATGAAAAGAAGACAGAACATAGATTTGGAACTGACCATAGATTTCTTATGTAACAGAGCCCAGAAGCCTTTCTTAACAGTGAAATCTTCCGGGATGTGTACTTTAATCCAAAATTTCAAAGCCGGTTGTCCTTGATTGTCGTGGACGAAGCACATATGGTGTATGTGTGGGGACTTGTTGCCAATGGCCAATCAAAAGGGCTGACCTCCCATCTAAAACATGGAGAGCGTGGAGTCTTCCGACCAGGATACGGTGAACTGGCTGCTAGGTTGATGGCGACCAACGGAACTCCGCTGCTAATGATGTCTGCCACCTGCCGCCCAATCGCAATCAATAGTATTCTTGAATCTTTCAAGCTTACCAGGCAAATGGTTACATTTGTTGAAGCTGAACTCACCCGACCTGAAATTCGTATGTTGCGGATCAATATGCAAAAGTCCCTGGTGTCATCGGAAGACCTTGCTGACCTGTACAGTACTCAAGAGCAAACACCAGACAATGAGATCATACCAACATTAATCTATTCAACCACCAGAAACCTCACCGGACAAGTCCTTGATGTCATCCACAATGCGCGTGAGGCAAATCAAAAAGACGATCCTTTCAGCACCTTTGCTCGACGCTACCACTCCATCACTGGTGATATGGTATCTGACTCACGTGATTCAGAAACGCGTTCCCGTGTATCTTCATCCATGGCGCTCAGGTGAGTTAACTGTAATGGATCCGGTGCGTCATGCCACATGGGCCGAGGGGACCCAGCTTCGATATGTCAGATGCTCGGACGTGCTGGAGAGATGGTAGAAAAGGCGTGGCTATTATGTTTGTTGAGCCACATCGCCAGAACGGAAAGAACTCAGTCAGTGATTTCACCAATGTCGAGCTCCAGAACGACGACGACAGGATGGACGCTGTGGTGACGGGAGCGCGCCTTGGCCAAAGCTTTGGCCGGTTTGTTTGGGGCATGCGGAATGCTCGCGGCGCTGATGCGGAAAGCACGCGGAGCTGACGCTACACAAGCAGGCTGAGGAAAGCGGCGGTGCATTAGTGGAAAGTCTAGCTTTCCGAGGCGCGGGAAAGCGGGGAAAAATAGACCGAATGCAAAAGGTTCTGAAAAGCTTACTGCGGGGAATCCGGGCACCGGGGATCACGGCCGACTGCGGAACGGGGGTTCAGGGTATACTGCGGAGGGGCTACGAGGAGCGGGGAGCACCGAGGGGCGGAAGCGGGGTTTGGAGCGGACCAGAGGCGGAAGCGGCGGTGGGAGACCTGCTTACAAGCGGCCGGAGGAGTACCTGGACCAACAGGCGTTGGAGGGGTGACATGCAGAGTGCGAGGGGGTGACAGCGGATGACAGCGCGGGAAGCAGGAAGGGACTGGAGTGTGGGATACTGAAGAGGAGGGGATTTCGAGGCAGAAGAGGGGAGAGAGGGGGGGAGACATATGACTCAGAACATATCAGAATAACAGAGAGACTTAGGAGTGAATCGTGTATTAGCCTAAAGAATTGGTAGATATTAAGAGTTAGAGTATTACTTACAAAAGCCAATAAAGAATAGTTATATTTAACTACCAATTAGACCATCAAGAAAGTTACCTCGGACAACAAAACCGGAGTAGGACGCGTTGCGGAGCGGAGAAGTGCAAGAAATCTCCTAGGGCGCGCCTTACTTTCCACAACGCATTAGCAATTACACCAGTTTGCCTCCGAATAGCATTTTCGCTAGATAATCGGTATGTCATATAAGTTTGATAAATAAAAGGGAAAATACTTACTTGTGATCTAACTGTAGACTAGGGTACATTCCTCTGTCTGTTGACGATCCAAACTACAAGAGAGATGCAAAGCGTGAAGTTGACGCAGGCTTTAGTGAATGCAGCTGTTCAAACTGTAAACCTGAAAGCAGCAAATGGGTCATCAACAACTTCAAACGAGCAAACATCAACAATTTTGATTTGTTCATATCCGACTCACCACAAGACATAGCCAAGCTGTTTCCGATTAGACAAGAAAAACAAGTGGCTGACAATCAAATCAATTGGGTTGAAGAATCTGGGAAAAAACCATTGCTCGAGATTCTTGAAGCCTTCGCACAGGCATTGGTTTGGTACTTTTGCGATTTTTTTGATTCCGAGATGAAAGGTGCTGCAGCATATCCACCAGACGCCTACTTCAGTATCATACATGCCCGCAAGATTTCAAGAAATATCAAGCACCTTACTCTGGACAAAATTGAACAGTTGATTGGGAATGAAATGTTGACCGGTCAATTTAAAATGTTGTTTGATCACATCACGCTCTTCCAATCAACCGATTCCTACCAATACATCTCTCGTCGTCAGGAAGAATTGGATGCTGAACTTAACTTGAAAGCAGCCTGATTGCGAAAGGAAAAAGAGGATGAGGATAACCAACGCGCTGAAGCCAAAAGAGCCACCCAAGAAGCTGCTGCTCAGAAGAAAATCAATACAGCTGCCAGAGTAAAAGCCAATGCTGAGAAAAAACGTACCGCAAAGGAGGCCAAATTCATCGAAAGCGAGAAGAAAAAGGCCAAGAGAGAGAGTGACATGGCGTTCTTACATCAACTTCAGGCTCAAGCGGAGATTGATCGACAGAATACAAGGCCCAATGCTTCTGATCCTGAGACCTCTAAAAGTGTGCTTGTTGATGAATCAATGGATCCTGCTTTGCTTTAATTCATGATACAGAAAAAGAATAAAAATAAATGTCTGGTTTGGGTAAATGTCAGCCTATGTGATGCCAAGACACGTGTCCTCTAGCTACACAAGGTGCAAAAAGTAAGAGTTTTTATGGCAAAAACTCTGGGATAGAACTGGTACAAGTAATTCAAAAGAATTACTTGGAATTTATGGATTAAATCCAAAAAGTGGCCAATTTATATTAATAAAATTAATATAAATAAAACCAGAGGGGCCTGATAAATCAGGGGTGGTTTAATCCCTCTAAGGTATCGTGCAAAAGCAGAGGATTTAGGTACCTGATACACTGGGGCCTGTAGCAGTGTGGTTTAAATCCCAGGAGATAATTTTTAGGAGAAAATCTTCAAGAAAGGGTTATTACTCACTAGTAATAATCCAAAGGGGTCTTGAGGATTTTCTTAGTAGAAACTGGACAGTTGGGAGCGCTCAGAAAGGTTGATTTTGGGTGCTGGGTGTTAACTGGGGAGATTCTTGAGGGTTCTTGAGGCTTAATAACAGCAATTATAGTAGTAACTAGGCTAATTACAAGTGTAGGAGACTTGTAAATGGTAAGTAAATTTCTATAAGGTATTGTAAAGCTGGGGGATCATTATTTGGGCGGTCAGAAGGTCCTTTAAATACCTGTGGAAGGCCTCAGGGGTTGCTCAGGGGAGCTTAGTAGGACTTGGGGGCGCTTTTGGGCCCATTTTGGCACACATGGTGATGTAACCAGGGCTGGAACCTTGGGGATAATATTCCAGAAGCTCCAAGGGGTAATGCACAAAATTATTACAGCCAATAATGTCCCATGGGAACCTGTAGATAGGGGTTACTCTGTTAAGTGGAGCAGGTTCCTTGGAAATGGGCCACAGAATATTCCAGAGGTGTCTTCTGAGGCTTGCTACACGTGTTACCCATTGGAATATGGTCACTGTAGTATTTTCATGGATATTCTAGCTTGTTCACATTCTTATTACACGTGTGGGGGCTTTGTTGCCACGTGCAATGGGGATTCTGGGGCTTTTGTGGCCCAATCCTTGGATACTGGTGTGCAGCATGACTACGTGGCACATGGGCTTGGAGACAGGACTTCACACTGCTCTATCTTCTAAACCGTGCACAATACTCCAATTCTGAGACTGGATTTGGAGTATATGCATTATGCATTATGCAGAAGTGTCACAGTACCCGTGATCTGGAGGTACCTGTTAATTATTCATGCTTGTATTACAGGATGAAGGAGTTAGAATTTGGGGTACCTTTGGCTGAGGTACCCTAGGTTAAATTGCATGCTGATTCAGAATCTGAAATAACATTCAAGGTTTTGTTTATACTTTTTAAGTTATTCATTTATTTTTATGTATTTTTTATCTTATTTACATAAGTAATATTGTTTCTTTTACTTATGTAATATTTTTAATTTATACTTAGATTTTTTATGTAATTTATTAATTTTATTTGCTATGACAGGTTGTCTCTGCCATAGTAGCAAGCTGACAGTAAAGATGAAAGGAAATACAGGCTTTTTGTTAGTTTTTAATGCATGTATTATTGTGATTGTGAGAAAATTCAACAATCATCATTTTCCAGAGGGCCAAAGTAATCTTCCAGTGAAATGTCAAGCTCGCCAGGTGAAATAGGAAGTGAAGAAGCCTCATCAAACATCAAACTAGGATTGAGAAGGGTTTCAGATGGTCGGAAGCGATTTAGAATAGTTCCCCCTGTGAGAGCATCATTTTGCATGACTTCCATGCCTCGTCTCATAATATCAATATCTTTTCCTTTTAGTTTATTTTTGGTTTTCTTTTTACCTTTTTCTAGAGCTGGAGCTGGAATTGATGTTGTCTTTGTGGAATCAGTATTATCTCCAATGGACTTGGTGATTGCCATGCAAAGGAATGCATTGATTGACTGAAGTGTGAGTTGATGCTTGTGTGATTGATAATAATTGCAGGCACCCGAATCTTCCTTGATTGATCAAATTAAACGTTGCAGCTTCAAACAGATAGTTCAAAAAGGGTCAAATCAGCAAGAAATCTTCATGATTCAGCCAGGATTTAACTTACCAAGGGCACATTTGAAGAAAAAAGATCCCTCAATCGCTTAGCCTTTGTGCCAATACCACTTTTGTTGAACATAAATTTAAGCCAATAGTTAAATGTTTCAAGCAAGAAATCCTTGGCCACAAAATGGCCTGGCCGTCCACTTGGTGTGACAAGGAGGGAATGTTGGATTGCATGGCGGAGAGCAGGCGGGAGAACCTTTGTGATTAAGAGGATCATTCGGGGGAGGTGTATTGCATAGTGAGTTAGACCAGTGATGCCTTGTGCCATTACAGACCATCTCCGCCAGATATTCAATAATCGACCAATATCGCCTGCTTTCATTGCTCGATTGGCTTCAATAACAGTAGCAAAATCACGTAAGCGGGTCATGAGGTTGAAGGGCTTTGGAGAATCAGATTTGTCGGCGTTTTGGAGTGCTGTGCAGCCGAAGAAACAAGTGTATCATAGGTCAATGGCATGGTTGATTGATTTGGCCGTTAATTTAAGCTTTTCGTTTGGTAGGCTGTTTCGAGGAATCCCCATGACTAATCTAATGCAGATAAGGTGTAATGTGAGCAAAGATTGAAGATGATAAGCAGAGAAGAAAAAAAATACAGTAAACAGTGAATAAGTGTTGCTTCATGGATCTTCTGCATATTGGTGAGCATAAGCGTGAAGTCTTTTTTTGCAGCTGGTTTCTCCGACGGAAGGCCAAGGGCTTGAAGAGTCCTCCATGCTCCAAGATCATCCTGGTTTTTATTATTTCCAAAGTGTTTCAGGAAGATAGCCTGGCCAATATTCCACAAGGTGTGAGCGGCCCCCAAAAGCATGAAGATGTTTCCGAGGCTTTCTTCTTTGTGACCACTGGGTTTCCTTTGTGATCGCAAGCACTCTAGGTTCATAATTGTTCCAAGGTCACCCTCCATCACCTGAAGCTCTGAGAAAAACTGTTCGGGGGTAAGATATGTTTGATCTATAATGTCACTGAAGATTTTGCCGACTCCTTCAGCGCAGTTGTCGGACGCCAGCATTAGTTTGAGGATTGTGATCTGTGGTTTTTTAGCAGTAATTTGATCAATTGTTGGTGGTTCAAGAGGAACGAGTTTCTTTGGATCGTCTGTTGTAGCTATGAAGTCATCATTACTTGAGCAATTTGGCTCTTGATGGCTGCACGAAAGTGAATCTCCTCTTCGGATGTTGGCATAAACATTGGTGGTGTAATCTTCAACTTGGCAGAGTCTTTGATTGCCTGCTTGTAGCTGTCGAGCGAGAAATCCTTTGGATCGTGGCCTTTGATAAGAGTCGGATCAAGTGTGTGAACATAGCCCCATGTTCCATGGAACATGTGGCTGGTTTTTTCAACTGACTGGAAGTGGATGCGTTCCTGAAAGTCGATATTATCAATACATATAAATGGAGAGATTGGTTTCCTTGATTTGATCAAGAATTCTTGGCCGGCGAGGGTTTTACGGGTTGTATCACTTAGTCGAACCAGAGCTGAGAGACCTGTTTTTCTAGACATTGTAAGACCAATGTAGTGAAGGTAGCTATTTATTTGTTCTGTCACCCCACATGCCACAAAGATGACAGAGTTCCATAGTTGCATGGAATTTGCGCGTCGATTTTCTCCAAAAGCAACCATAGCACATATGGTTTTAGCAGTCTGACAAGAATACAGAGACCACACCATTAGTATGGAGAAAATAAAGATTGAGAGATGTTTGCCCACTGATTTTGCACGGGTCTCTCGCTTATTCAAAGATTCTTTCTTTTTATAATCTTTTGTAGGTTCGACTGTTGAAGAATTTTCATTGTCAAAACTGATTTCTTCAAGACTATCATTGGAGCAAGCAGATTCCACATCGTCATCATCGAGAATTCCAGATTCTTGCTTTCTTTTTATGCAATTCATCAGCTTGGCTAGAAGTAAATCGTGTAAAAACGGCATTTCTTCTTCCACAAGGCTTGTTTCGCGAGTTTCCTTGGCTTTTCGAGTGAAGAAATTGTTGTCCACCTTTCTTGAGCTGTGATATGCGCCATTGGGGAAGGTACCGCGTTTAGGAGACTCAGCAATAACATAGATCTTGGCCTGTTAAAAATATTGAACAGGAGTTAATCAACACAAAAGCTGATAAAAAAGCGGCAAAAGTACAGAACACTTGCCTCCTTTAAAATCAAATCCTTCCAGAGATGACGTCCTGTCTTCTTCTTCATTGTGAGTCCTTTGATTGATTGGAAAATATTCAAAGTTGAGGGCCAGACGCTCTGATTGCCCCAATTGGCCTCGCCGCAAGGCTCAATTGAATGTGTCCATT